CTTGAGAAAACCAGGGTATTTGTAGTCAGTAGCTCCCGTGGTAAATGGACAGAAACCAAGGTGTGTACAGAGTGGAGAGTCTGGAAGGGACCAGCTCCAGATTCATGGTGCTTGGCCTGTATAAGTGCTCTGATGACCCAGTATCGCAAGAAAAGCACAGTATTGTAGTTTAGAAACCCTTCACTCCATGCCTTAAGTTATCCCTAAGAACACTTTCCCACAGGCAGATCAATTAGAAGGCTCTCTCGACAGGAACAGAGGGAACATCAGAAGAAGTCCATTTACAGACCCTTCCATTAGACACCTCTGTTTTACGTGTTTAAAAGATGTAAGAAAATTCCAGTAAGAATGAGAAATTCTAAGAAGTGTCAGAGCAATTTTAAAAGGACCAGATAGAACTCCTATGTGTGTGTGTGTGTGTGTGTGTATCTGTATATGTATATGTATATATGTATATTTACATACATATGGGGGGAATGTAATAATTGGCATTAACAGCTGAACAGATAAAACCTCTTCTGGCTTAGCAGATGTGTTCTGAGTATGTAACCGAGAGGAGTAAGTGAGGCCTTTTGTCCAGCAAAGACAGGGATGAAAACAGTCTTAGCCCTGCATCTGTAATAGCAAAGCCAGGAAGCAACCCGCCTCTCAGAAGATGCAGAGCAGACAAGTTTGTGCTATTTTCTTCTAGCAAAAAAAGACAAAGCCTGGCCGTGGTGGCACATGCCTTTAATACCAACCCAGTAGGCAGAGGCAGGCGGATCTCAGAGTTCAAGGCCAGCCTGGTCTACAGTGTGGGTTCTAGGACAGCCAAGGTCACACCTGTCTCAAAAAAAAAAGAAAGGGGGGAACAGGAGAAAGAGCAGCAGGGTACAGTGTGCTGCCCCTAACAGAACAAATTGGAAGCACGCACACCTGCAGTGATGTGCGGAGAGGGAAGCCGGCTGCCACAGTACTTACCCTCATACTGCCAAGGACGGGCATCGTCACCTGAGGTGACAACAGTTCCAGTAGCAGTCACTTTTAGGGCTCTTGTGTATGAGGTATTGGAGGAACTCCATAAGCACTGAGTGTGCTGATTAGAGCATTGGGCTCACAGGGTGATAATCATATGTCAGAATTCATTGAGCCTTTCCTATGGAAAGTTTGAACTTAACAAAAAGATTAGGGCTGATGTGATGGATAGTGAGAGCAGAGGTATGCATACCCATGCACACATACACACACCCTATACATAGTATTTTAAAGGGAGCTGGGAAGCTGGTATGGTGGTCCAGCGTTCAGGAGGTGGAGGCAGGTGGATCTCTGTGAGTTCAAGGCCAGCCTGGTCTATAGAGCAAGTTCCAGGACAGCCAAGACTACAGAGTAAAAACCCTCTCTTGAAGAAAAAAAAAAAAAAAGGCAGGCGGTAGTGGCCCATGCCTTTAATCCCAGCACTCAGGAGGCAGAAGCAGGCAGATTTCTATGAGTTCAAGGCCAGCCTGTTCTACAGAGTGAGTTCTACACAAAGAAACCTGTCTTGGAAAACAAAAACAAACAAAAAAATAGACAATTAGAAAAGAAGACAGTGCTGTTGTACAGTATTATCATGGCTTGAGCCAGGCATAACATAACCTGAGCCTGCCGCTCCAGCACTCAGGAGGACAAGCCAGAAAGATCACAAGACAAGTTCAGAGTCAATCTTGACTGAACTGTGACTTGCAGTGTAGCTCAGTAGTAACAGGCTGGTGACCTGAGTTTGAGCCCCAGGAATCAAGAGATGGAAAGAGAACTAACTCCTGCAAATTGTCCTGACCTTCACATGTATGCTGTGGTCTCACACACACAAAGTTGGGAAGAACTGAATTGGTAACTTAAATGTTTCATTTTACCACAGTTTAAAAAAAGAAAATAGACATGACAGCCCATTACCTGTCATCCCAGCACTCAGGAAGTGGAGGTGGGAAGATTTCTGCAAGTTTAAGACCAGGTTGTGCAATCTTTGGAACCCACATGATAGAACGAGAGAATTGACCCCACTAAATTTGTCTTTTAATCTCCACATGCTTGTCGTGACACATACACAAGTAAATGTAATTGTTTAATAAAGGATAGATAACTAACAGACGTAAAGGTGTTCAGTCTCATTAGTAATACAAATCAGAACCACAGACACATATACCAATAAGACTGCAAAAGCTGGAGGGACTGGGGAGCTGCTCACCAGCTAACGTGCTTGTTAGGCATGAGCGTCCTGACGTGTGGATTCCCAGCATCCACATCTACAAGCAAAAAGCTAGGCGATGGTGCTCGCCTGTGACTCCAGCCCTGAGAAAGCAGAGGCAGGAAGCTTTCCAGTGCTTCCTGACCAGCAAGCCTAGCCAATAAGTGAAGTCCAGATTCAGTGAGACCCTGTCTCAAAAATAAAAGAAAATGGAGATGCTATTGAAAACACGCAGTGTCAACACCTAGCTTCGCACACAGACATAAAGGAACTACCTAGAATAGCTCTTTGCACGTATATCTCACGTTACAAGAGAAATGTGATCGGGGCCAGCAAGATGGCTCAGAGGGTGTGGCCTAATGGCCTGAGTGTGATCCCTGGAACCTACATAGTAGAAGGAGAGAACCAGCTCCCAAGACTCTTCTCCCCGTGTGGTGCACACATGAGTGTATAAAATAGCCTTCAAGACTTTTATATTCAAAAGAGAAGAATTGTCATTTGTTTAGCCAAGTGTTACGGTGCAAGCCGGGGAATCACAGTTCAAGTGAAGTTTAAATGAAGTGTTTAGGTTTGATGAGTAAGTTACAGGATTAGAAGTCTCTGGGACTGGTTTAGCAGTAGCGTATTGGTCACAATGGGTTTCTAGTAGCCTAAAACTAAAGCAACGCAAATACTGTCACCATTCAGGTGGCTGGCTGCATGGGTAAGGTTCTGCAGTCCAAGCTCAGTGGACCCAGCTCTGGAAGCACGCAGTTGGAGCCGATGCCAGGGACTGACACAAACACGTGTTGTATTTGCCTACTTTTCCTATCTCACCAAGAGCCTTTTATGTTTACTGCCACATTCCCTGGGCCTAGGACTGTGACTGACAGAGATATTGTTGAAATGAATTAGTTTTTAGCTGGTGGGGAGTAGTCCTCAGAAAACCTGACTGGCCAAGATGTGAAAGGATGTAGAAATCATTCCCTCACACTAAAGAACGCCATGAAAACTCCAGATGGTGTAAACAACACTTACTCTAAGGGCTTCGAGACAAATCATTTCATACCAATCAGTAAAATTAGTAATTCTGGCCATTCGTGACCTCAGATTGGCAGAGTGAGCTGGCTTGCCTCTGTGCCGCAGTAGCTATAGTGACTGCTACGCAACGGGAGGCTGGGAGCCAGAATGACCAGAAGGCTCACGGTTTTGTCACTTGTTGGCTCTGATGTCGGCAGAACACCTACATCTGGCCTTTGTGTGTTCTGGTCTGATTATGGAGGCTGACCTGAGGCTGTAGGTCAGGGGTTCTCAACCCTCCTAATACAACCTTTTAATAGTTCCTCATGTTGTAGTGACCTCCAACCACAAAGTTATTTTGTTGCTACTTCATAGCTGTTGTAACTATGTTGTAATTTTGCTCCTGTTATGAATCATAAATATCTGACATGTATGATATTTGATATGCCACCCCCCAAATGGCCATGACCCCCAGGTTGAGAACAACTGCTGCAGAGCCTCCCAAGATCTTGGCCTTAGAATCCCAAGGAAGCTTCATTGTCTCCTCACACGGCCTTTGTTGCTCCAGAAGAGTATCTGGGCAGGGAGTGACGCTGGGCTTTAAAGCTTGTTTTTCATAAAGGAGGGAAGGAGGCAGGCAGCCTGTTGAATTGGTTCCAGAGAGTTGGGGGCTACAGGTGAGCATGGTATGTCAGAAGCTTGGACATGGAAGAAGGGCCTTGCTAAAGAGTGAGAAATAGCTGCTGGCAGCAGCATGAATGACCAGTGAACATGTGGAAAGACAAAGAGTACATAAAACATTGGGAAAACTAAAATCCAGTAGGCTGGGTGGTGCTGGGCCAGACCTTTAATTCCAGCACTCAGGAGGCCATCCTGATCTTTAGAGCAGTTATAGGACAGCCAGGACCACACAGAGAAACCCTGTCTCGAAAAATCCATCAATCAGATAATACTTGCTACGTTGTTGAGAACATGGAGAGTCAAACCTTCCTTCATTGCTGTGGTTCTGTATAACTGTACACTGTGGACTGTAGCTTGAGGCTGCTCCATGAACTAAAACCACTGCTGCATGACCCAGCAGTTTTGGCAAGGTTATAACCAAAGGAATTGAAAAAAAGGACCTCCAGCAGATGCTTATGCCAGCGTTCATTGTAGGTGAAGCACCTGTGTCAGTCATCGGACAAATGATAGATGACATGTGGACTGTCCATCAATGGAATAGTACTTGGCCATAAAAAGAAGTGCAGTTCTGATTCGTGCTGCACATGACTTGGGCAAAGCAGACTAAGCCAGCTGCAATGAGATAATCCTGGATGACTCTACTTGTAATAAATACCTTCGGTGTGTAACTTCATCAAGACAGGTTAAACTGAGAAGGGCTAGAGCAGTGGTTCTCAACTTTCCCAATGCTGCGACCCTTTCATACGTCTAGGTGACCCCCAAAACTGTAAAATTATTTTGTAACTAATTTTTCTACTATTGAATGTAAATACCTGTATTTTCCAGTGATCTCTAAGGGGTCATTGGACCCCAAGATTGAAAGGGGCCAAGGGTACCTCCCTTAGCTTAGCTTGTAAACACTGGGTCAGCCCAGTGCTGTACGGGCACAGGTTGTGAGGAGATAATCTGCAGATAGTCCAGAGTAGCTAGAAGAGAGTGGTGCTGGAGGCGGGGCTAAGTGGTGACCCCCATGCTTTGCAGAGACGCTCTCGTGCTCAGGAGGTGCTGACAAAGCCCTTCTGAGCAGGAGTTGCCTTTCAGTTGCAGTTTTTTGTTTTGTTTTTTTTTTTGTCTTTTTTTAAGCAAGGAACATTTCACAGATTTGAGTATCATCCTTGCACACGGCCATACTAATCTCTGTATCATTCTAATTTTAGGATATGTACTGTCTAGGCAAGCACTCAGGTGCAGTTCTAGAGCTGGGTTCATTTCCTGCCGCTTTGAAGTGGGCAGTTTTCTGTCTCACAGGAAGGATGAGCCGCACCTCTGTGCCCCTGAGCTTGCAGCCCCCATTGTTCCTCTGCACCACTGCCCTTTCCTAAAGCCTGTCTTACTCTGCATTATCAGCCAAGGAGATGTCAGCTTAACTAATGAGCAGTCCCTAAAACACAAGCTGGTCTCCCTAAAAGGACCAGTTTCTAAACAGAAACTGAGTGCTTGGTGCATCTCTGAGTCAGCATGTGCCCTGAGTTAGCAGCACCCTGTGAGTGCTTGGATGGAATCCAACAGTGGTCATCACTTCAGCCACGGGGCTAATTTAGGCTGCTCTGCAGCACTGGGCAAGTCATTGTGAATTACAAGTGCACAAATGGAGAGGAATGCCTGAAAATCACTTACTATTGCTGATGACTTCAGCTGACAGTAGAGGAATGTGAAGAGATGGTAGCTCCTCCTTGCTTTCAAACTTGCATTTGGTGGATCTGCACTGCTTGATTTTCCTGTCCCTGGTGTTGGGTCAGACAGTGCAGGCAGCATGGCGGAAAAGCGTTGAGCACCCCTACCTACTCTAAATGCAGTAACCCAAGAACCTCAGATTTGTAGGCAATCTCCAGAATCAGCCTCCCTGGGCTGTTGGAGTTTTCCTTCCAGAATTGATGAGAATGTGCCTGCTTTCTCCATCCCTACCAGCTGTGAGCCTCTTCTGCCAGGATATAGCCTCTCACCCTTTCTTGCTTCCTGTTCCTCCCACCCCCATTTGTTTTTTTTAGCAGTCATCCACTTCCAGTGGTAGCGTGTTTGGGTCTGGAAATGCAAGAGGGGGCGGTTTCTTCAGTGGCCTTGGAGGAAAACCCAGCCAGGATGCTGCCAACAAAAACCCATTCAGCTCGGCCAGTGGGGCCTTTGGATCTACAGCCACCTCAAGTAAGTGAGACTTTTCCCAGCCCGTTCATCCTCTGATGCCATTGGCATCTTGTGCTATTACCAAAGCTTCAGGAACAAATACAAAAGGGGGTTAAGCTAGCAAGGGGCTATATCCACATGGCTCTGTTTGAGTGAGGTATCTTCTGTAGTCATGAAAAGACAGCAGAGCTGCAGGGAGAGATGAGTGTGACAGGCTGCTTCTCTCCCAAGGCCCAGTGTGTTCCATTTCCTACCCTGAGACCACATGAAGGCAACACAGGCAGACAGCAGTCATGAGCAGCCACACTCCGGCACAGCACTTCTGCTCGCCTGGCTCTCTGACTCTGAAGTGCACTGACAGTTGCCCGGAGCCTGCATGTCATCACTTACCTTTACTGCCTTTTCCCCTGAGGCTGTACTTCCTAGCACTTTTTCTCCAGCTAATTTCTCATGCTGTGCATTGATCTGCCTGTCACAGTTGGAAGCATCAGATGGTATATACTGCTGCTGTGGCTGCGATTGCAAGTTGGGTTCTTGTCATCCTCACCTTAACTGCTTCCAGTTAATGTGCTGTATTGGGCGGTACAAGATATTGATGACTCTTGTGTTTGTCTCTCCCGGCCGTTTCCATAACATTGAGGTCTTTGGAATTAAGAGCAATGTTTTCTGTCCCAGTTTTGCCTTCTGGCTGTATAGATCAAGGACTGGTTGTCCTGATGTCTCTGCTCTGCTAACATGTAGCAGGCTTGCTCATCAGGGCTTCTCTCCTAAGTCACCAGGCTATGCCAGGAGGGATATAGAACCTAGAGTGAAGGGATCTCAGAAATCGTATTTTCAACAACTGTTTTGCAGTCGAACAACAGATAGGCAAAACAAAAATGGGTTCATGCCAAAGCAGGGGTTGAGAATCCTGATGTAGTGGAAATGTTTGACCAGCTGTCCCCCAGGACTGAAGGGCTCTGTGTAGCAAATGCTGTAAAAGCGTAGTCCTTTCAGATCAGAGCAAGAAAACAGCAGATACGGAGCTCAGATACATGTAACATGCCAAACACAGAACTCAGCACAGTCACTTGGCATGCTGGTTAGAAATTGGGGTCAATCACAAATTTAGGTCATCCTCTGTGAGGCCATGTTACCGGCCAGTTTTGTTAATGGCTTAGATGTGTCATATCCCTGTAAAAATGCCTCTCCCGGCCAATTTATCTTTGCTTGTCAACTGCCTTCTTCCAGAGGTCAGTCTGAGCTGGTGTGCACTAGTGCCTGCGAGTCAGCCTTGCGAATCCCTCCCTGTGCACACATGCAGTGCCTTAAGTCTGCTGGAGGGAGTGTGGACCTAAGGGGGGTGGGAAAGCACCACACACCAGGACTCTAGTCATGCAATACCTATTTGTCCACATACCAGACACCTAGAGGTCTTAATGTTTTGTTTTTTGTTTTGCTTTGTTTTGTTTGACATGATTTGGTAGTGAACGAGACCAGGAACTTGTTGATCCCTGAGACTAAAGTGTAGGCTTAGTGAAAGGCAAGAGCAGTGGAGAGGCTGAGCAGCACTCTAGGGAAGGGCATTGTCCTCTTTCTGCCTTTCTCCCTGGTGACTCTGGCATTTGGTGCTTCTGAGCACTGTTGTGTTCCTGAGCTGAGTCCCCCTTGTTCCCTGCCCACCTGTCACACAGGCCCTCCTCTGCTGCCTTATCCCCCATCCCCACCTCTAGTCTTCTTTGCCGTGGTCAGGAAATCCATCTCAAGTCAAATGTTTCTAAGTTGCTTTTATTTTGCCACAGTTCTTGTGCAGAACCCTTTTGCCTAGGGTCCAGGCTGCATGAAAACATGACCAAGAGAGACAATCTGAGAACACTGTAGCCAGTGTATGTCCTTTTGAGAAGTCTTGGCATTCCCAGAGACTGCCGAAGACAGGTGGTTAGACTCAGGCCATCTGTAACGCAGCACCATGTGTGCATCGTCACCTTAAGTCTCATCCTGCCACCCAGTTAGTATTGTCCTCTACATGCTTTTTCTCTTCAAGGACCTGAAGGACATTTGTGTTGGAACAGGGAGGTCATTTGTTTCAAGCCTGCAGCCGCAAAAGGCTCCCTCAATGGCTGTTCTGGGGGAAGCTGTCCTGGAGCGGAGCCTGGGTGGCTCTAGACTGAGAGCCCCTCTGAGTGCACTGGACCCGTGTCCTGTGACGTCAGACCTGCAGAAAGATGGACCCTGACCTCTATGACACTCTTTATGTCACATTTAATTTGGAGTGGGTCAGACCTTGACATGGGATGTAATAGTTGGAAGTTTTGCCATACACTAAAAGGAGCCCGAGGCCTGCGTGCAGGGTGGAAGCCAGAGCAGGTACCAGCTGCTCTTGTCTTTAGCATCCCCAAGTATTAGTCCTTGGCTGACTCCACAACAAATATTTTATTACTGGCTTATTCCTTCATGCTTGAAGACTCTTCCACAGTGAAACACACTCCATCCACCAACATATTTATTTAGTGTGTTTTTAAAAGCTGGGCCAGCATCCAGTTGTGTTGGCTCATGCCTTTAGTCCCAAAGACAAGTGGCTCTGAGTTCAAGGCCAGCCTGGGTCTAGAAGTAAGTCCTTACTCCCCTGAGCACCTGCTCTGTGCTGAGGTGTAGAGGAAGCCAAAGGTGAAAGAGCAGCAGGGAGTCTTTGTAGTCTTTCACAGATTGTCAGAATTGTTCCTGGGTGGTGTCACTTACCTGAGGTCACAGAGCTATCCAGTAGTTAGCCTAGGCCCGGCTGCAAGCCTCAATCTATTCTACTGTAATGTGGGACAAAGGGATCTTTGTTTTTAGGTAATTATATGAAAATGTGCATACTGAAGGGTTATCGTGTGATGTATACATCATGTGTGTATACACATGTGATGTCTGTATATACGTGTGTGCATGTGTATATATGTGTATGTGTCTACACATACGTCCACAAAGAAAAAATGTTTTTGAAACATTACCATTTCTTAATGGTGAAAACATTTTTAAAAAATGCTTCTAGCCTTAAAAAAAAGTAGACTGTGTACATCATTACCCATAGTCCCCTCCTGTACAATAGAACAGTTTCCTCCTGCTTGTTTCTCTGTTTCATCTGTTTGTTTTATCTGAGGGGGTGGGCAGGGTAGGCATGTCCACATGGCAGCTCGAGCATGCAGGCCAGAGGACAGTTCTCAAGGGTTGACTCTTCTATCATGTGGGTCCTGGGGATCAAATTCAGGTTGTAAGGCTTGGCAGCAAGAGCCTTTACCCACTAAGCCATCTGGTTGGCTCTTACTACTCAACCTTTCCCCCTTTCCTGTATCACCAGACTCTGGTAGCCACCATTCTACTCTCACCCCCTAATAGACCAACTTTTATAGATTCCATAAATAAGTGAGGTCATGAGGTATTTGTCTTTCTCTGTACTTAACACAATCTCCAAATCCATGTTGATACAAACAACTGGAATTTATTCTGTTTGTGGCTAAATAGTATATATACTGTGTTTTCTTTATCTAGTCCTCAATTGATGGACACGAAGATGTTTCCATTTCTTCGCTCTTGTGGGCAGAGCCGCAGCTGTCTCTCTGGGACTGACTTTATTTGACAGAAGGTCCTTAGAAAGAAAGGGATGAAGGTTCCAAGTGGTCTCCGGCGTCACAGAAATTAAGTGTTCTAGTATGGTCCCAGTAAAAGTCTTCCATTTTTTATGTGGTCACACCACATTTCATTGGAAGGAGGTCCCACCCCTAATCTTGTACTTGAAATTGCTGTTTAGAGGTTCTGTGTTGGCAGCACTGGTTGGGTTAGAAGACTGAAGCTGAAGTGAGGGATGTAGTGTTGTGAAGGGAGTACAGGCAGCCTTACCTGGATCCTTAAGAGAGGGCACACTGTCCAGAGTACAGCCACGTGTGCCCACCATAAGGGAGCTAAAGCAGGCTCTACCCAGCTTGCTCTCAGGGTCAGACATGATTAACAGTGGATCCTCAGCCAGCCAGCCCTCTGGTCTTCAGAGCAGTGGCTGTGCTTTGGTAGTACTGAGAGATGACCAAGTGCCTAGAATGAGACC